GGAGTTTAAAAGCAAACAGAGGTGCATCCGGTGTATGGCGTCTATCGCTATAAGAGTTAGAGATACTATCAATCAAATTTGGATCAGCTGCAGCTGTCTGGAAAATTGAAAGAAAATAATTATTTAAAATGTTAGGCTCATATCTCGTACTTATTTTAAATTAGGAATTTAGTACATAGTTTGCGATTGATTTGACCAAACTTTATTGCTAAAATAACTTGTAACGCTTTATTACATAAATTAACCATGGTATATTCCACAGCAGAAAGAGTTGAAATTATCGAAATATTTTTCGGAAATAATCAGTGCGCTAATAGAACAGCAGAAATATTTAATGAGCGACATAAGAACAGTAACGTGCATCGTTCTAGAACTTGTAGCTAAATTTCGGGAAACTGGGTCAGTCGCCAATAAAAAACGCAACATTGAAAATCCCATAAGGAACGAAGCAATAGAAGTGGGGGTTTTAGGGCAAGTTTATGTAGATCCTACGTTAGGTACCCGCAAATTGGAGGCTGTGTGTGGTGTTAGTCGACGTACTGTCCAACGGATTCTAAAGGCCCATAGTTTTCATCCGTATAAAATTCACCTGGTACAAGAACTTAATGAAGACGATTTTGATCGGCGATTACAATTTTGTGAAGATATGAGTGAACGAATCATAAACGATGAACATTTTCTATTCAACACTTGCTTTTCCTTTTTCTTAAATGGCGTAGTAAATCGTCATAACTGCCGATATTGGTCCGATTCTAATCCCAGAATTTATCATGAGGTTCATACACAGCAGCCACAAAAATTAAATGTTTGGGCTGGCATTTTTGGCGATCATTTTGTTGGTCCTAGACAGAGGTGATCTATCCCTCTGCTTTTGGATAACATTTTGTCCATTACCTGATTATTTCCTTCAGAGTCTAGGTTTTAGGTAGTAAAAGGTTAAACGAGATGGTTGAGTGTGAATGGCCAAATGTACAAACTTCGCCATTTGTAACCGTACTCATGGATTTGTTACAACGGAGTCGATTGAATCGAATTTTGAAAACAATACCTATAGAACTCTGCCCGCTGTGTATCTGTAAATGCAAACGTATGTATAAATTCAATAATAATTATACGAAGCGGGTCCTGGCATGAATTTCACTGGTAATTATTTAATTTACGGCATGTCGGCTTGACGTTTAATAGCATAAAATTCTTATAATTTGTGCATGAATGCAAATATTCCGCTACACTGATGCGAACTTTAAACTGAACATTTGTTTTGCTTGTAGTTATAGATTATTAATCGAATCTGCAATTTAAAAACAGCTACTTCAGTACCGAGATGGGTGTCACATGAAACTTAAGGGCATTAAACGGCAACTCAAAATTTGAATAAGACCAACCGTCCCCGCTTTTGCAATGTTTCCGTTAAGGAGCGAGCACGTCAGGCCATAATAAGCAAGTTTTTTTATGAGTACAAAAGCCTTTACAACCGAGATTTTAGGTACCAAAAAACTTCGAATATTCCTTTCCGAACCGGCCTCCCTCCCCTCCAACGTCAAATAATGTACACTCATGTTTTTTTGATTTAGCTAAAAGAACGTTTGTGTCTGACATTTGTGCAATGCAAGCAGCATTTTTCCAGGACCTAGCAAGCAGTCTTGTCAGCTGAAATAGTATAGAAGCGGATGAATGGAAATTTATAGTTTATTTACATTTTCATTTAAGTATTGTTGTAATTTCTTCATGAGCCGCAAGGGGTGATCCCTTTTATAATAATAATAATAATAAATGGCCTTTATTTTACCTGGCGGGTTACATCAGCACAAGCTGTTTTTCAGAACCAACCAGGGCTAAAAAAAAAATTCAAGTACATGCAAATACAACAAAAATACATTGAAGATAACATTTAAAGCAGAAAAAAAATTTTTTTTACAGAATCGTAGCATGGTATAATGACCAAAAGACCAAACGAGAAACGTGCAGCAACAGAGTACGTAGCAGAATCAAAAACCGTGATTAGAAGTAACTTTAAAAAAAGAAAATATTTGGTATATGGCGGAAGATATAAAAATTAAAAGTAAACAGTAACAAATGTGTAAGCAAAACACAAACAAATGAAAAGTGACGAGTGAGAAAACATGCACAAATAAACAAATATAAAAATGAAATTACATAAAAATACATGCTAGATGAAATCAAAAAAAAAAAATACATGCTACATGTCATCAAAGACAAAGAGCCTAACTTTTCTTTTAAAGCTGGACACAGATAAAGTTTTCAAAGCTTGAGGTACTTTATTGTAGAAATCGGGCGCCACATATGAAAAGCTCTTTCTGAATTGGGTTGTTCGGTGCCGAGGCAAGTCGAGAGTATATCCTACAAAACGCAGGTTCGCTGAGTGATGATCACATCTCATGGTAAGCTTGTTCTTCAAATAAAGAGGCATTTTATTTATCATAATACTGTGGACCAATGATAATAGATGCAGTATCCACCTTTGTCGCATAGTAAGCCATTGAATATTTTTAATATGATCAGATACCCTCTCCCGCCTTTGAATACCTAAACTGAATCTTATGCAGCTGTTTTGCACTTTTTGAAGTCTGTATGCCTCGTTCTGTATTAGACATGGACCATAGACAAGGTCCCCGTATTCGGTATAAGTTTACTTAGGATAAGGGAGTCACACAGCTTAACCTTGGTCTGCTTGGACAATACATTTTTATAGCTATACATTGACTTCAACTTAGCATAGGAACCCTGAACAGCTTTGGTGACATGATCATGGAAGCACAGGTTCTCATCAAATGTGATGCCCAAGTTGCGAACCGATGTCTTGTGGCAAACTTCATCACCTCCAATACACAGCTTTATTAATTCACTATTGAATTTGCTGAATTTAGATTTAATAGTTATGATAGCCGACTTTCTAGGGTTAATACATAAGCCATGTTTGTTATACCACACACATATCTCTTTCAGCCTTTATAAGTAACCGCACTTATCATCTTTTCCATAACGAACAGGCAACCACTTATACAGGGTGACTTTGAAGTTGAGTCATTAATTTTCAGATAATGATTGTAGAAGGAAGATAAACCAAAATATGTGTGTAAAAATAAAAAAAATGTTACCTTGTTTTATAAAGTATCCTCTCGACAAGTATTTCAGTGCGGACCTGTATTTGATCGTGCGGTCTTGGAGCACCGGCATGCCCTCCCCTGAGAGGTCTTAAGTCACCTGATTCACGAGCCCTTTGTACTACATTAACCCTCAACTGGTGTCGTGATTTATTATATCGTTAACTGCGTCCTGGGGTCTACTGGACCCCATTTTTTTGGTCATTTTTTTTTTGAAAATAAAAAAGGATATGTTATGTTCTTATTTTGTTTCAATGTGTGATCATTTAAGCTGCAATAAAATCATGCAAGCCCATTATTTATTTTTATTAATAGTGAAAAATGCTAAAAAGTGTAACATAATGTATTTTTCATGGGTTTTTGACACAAGAACATAAGATTTTACAGAAAAAATATAAAAATTGAATGATTATTTTTATATTGATTTTTTCGTTTTATATACAGAACAGACAACTAAAACAAATAAACTTTTTAACTAAAATATATTATTTTCAACAAAACTGTGGACTATTTACAACTTACATATTTCTAAATACAATTCTTGCAAACATAGGCCCTGCAGTCGCCGCACATGGGTCGAGAACATTTGCTGCACGACGTTTTTGTTTTTTTGTCATTCTTCCGATCACAAATACCACATCTCTTTCGTTTCTGGCCCTGATTGCTTAATTCTCCCCTCTCTTCTTGAGGTAAAGCCTTGTTTAGTACTCTGCTGATACCTATACGAAGCTCCCTAGGTAATCGAAAATTGTATAATCTTACATTGAGATATGGTTCTGCAAGTTGTCTTGCAAGAATTTTGTAAAAGGCTTTTCTCTCTAGCGCTTGGTTGTTTTTATAACATCCATGTAAAATGTGTGCATTGACACCCGCAATATTCAATATTGTGAAAAAAATAGTCATTGGCCATCGCCTAGTTCGCCGATTTGTAGAGTATGTGGTACATTTTTGATCTAGTGCATCCACACCGCCTTTTGTTTGATTATAGAAGGAAATTATTTCGGGTTTACCAGATTCTTTGTCCTCACATTCGGTGTGGTGCATTGATGATATTAGCACAACTGCCTTCCCTTTTTTTGGGACGTAGGAGACGATAGTGAAGTCGTTTGTAAAACCATAAATGGAAGATCCTTCAGTTCTTCTCCGATTTGGAAGGAACTGCACAGGTATCTCCTTTTTGTTTCGCTTAAGCGTGCCAACATAGGTGAGTCCTCTTTTTTTTAATTCATTCATGACTTCTATGGATGAAAACCAATTGTCTGCTGTGACATTTCGGTTTGAATTAGCAATCGGACGACACAGTCTCAACACAGATTGTGTTGGTTTCATGAAACGTCTCTCCTCATTCGTTAGAGAAACACCATCACTATCCTTACCACTGTAAATATAACCATTATAGAAATAGTGGGTCCGTGCGTCTGTTAAGGCCATAATTTTTAGTCCATATTTCCGAGGTTTATTAGGTATGTACATGCGGAATCTACATCTGCCGCGAAATCCTATCAGCATTTCGTCAATACAACACAATTCTCCTATCGAATAGCAGTCTTGGCAATTTTTCACAAAACGCTCAAATATCCAAGAGACTGCCGCAGTTCGATCATAAGCTTTACGTGCTTCTCTATCATCTGCATTGTCAAACCTAAAACAAAAGCAATTGGATAAGTCTAAAAATATTCATTTACACTGCTTAGTCAATAAACCTTAGACATGCGAGCAACACATATACTCTTTTCAATGACATAATGGACCTGAATATGTCTCGTCCCGTTCCATCTGTTGCAAACATTTCTTGAAAGTCTTCATCATTTGACTTGAAAACTGCAGCGTAATACAATATAGCGAGAAACGCTCTAAATTCTTCCTTTGTTAGTTCTCTCAGTTCCGTTCGATCAGCGTTACTAAATTTATCTTGGAATATCAATATCTTTTCATTTGTCCGCAGAATTATTTCATTTTCCATGTCTTCTGTGAAAAGATAGCTCCATATTTTTAACGGATCAGCGACATCACCACATTTTGCAGGTCCTTTCAGCCCCGGAAGAACTTTCACCAGATTGTGTTTTTTTTGTTCTGATATTCAAATTTGGGTTGGCCGGAACAGCAGACCACTTGTATCGATTTTTACCAAAATAAAACGTTCCGTTCGTCGTTTCCATCTCCTCTTCTTCTTCACCATTAGAATGACTTTTCTGTTGTTCAGCATTGTCCCCCTGATCTTCCATCTCAGAATCAGAGTTATGGTCACTCTCTGGGGAAAAATCTTCGTCTTTGTAGTCCTCATAGTCACTACACTCACTTTCAAGTTCCTCATACCACTGTCGTAGAGTTTCCTCAAACTTAGAGTCCCCAAAACGCACGCTTTTGGAAGAACCCGCCATTTTAAAAATAATACACTATTAGCGTCGTGGTGCCACACAGACCCCAAATGAACTTTACCGCTCGCTGTCCAGAGCAATACTAAAGCAAAGTTGACGTGCGCGCCGGCGTGGCTTATGAGTGCACTAACTTGAAGGTAGATGGCGCGGCCAGGCTTGAATGCTGAATTTGCAAGTTTTACATGGAGTTAAAAAGTTCTGGGGGTACACCAGACCCCACGACGCCACTTGAGGGTTAACAAAGGCACGAGGGGTTGGTTGCACTCGATTGGGAAACCGATCCGCATAAATCCGTGATGCCGCGTAAATAAGAATCATGTCCACAAGTTCAGCATTTTCGTAAACATGTGCCATTTTTGATTTCGGTTGAGCCACGCAACAGACACCAATATTCACTCACGCGTTACCGACTGACACTGACTGTATACAACTGAATAAAATAACTGTAAAAACATCGTTCCAAATTCTTTCGCTTTTTTGTTTCCGATGAGATGAACCGATAAGGCGGATTATATCCGTTGTTGAAAAACACGAGCACATAATATTATTATTGAGATAGGGCGGTAGTCAAACTTCCAAAGGGCTATAACTTTGTTACTTTAATTTTACCAGAAAAATGGTAAAGGAAAAAAACATTTCTTTTGATCAGATCTACTCACTGTTAAAATAAATGACTCAACTTCGAAGTCACCCTGTATAACCCTCTGCTTACGGTTGTGTTTCGTCTCCTATCTCGTTCGTTGACTCACAACTAATTCGATTGGATCCTAGGAAACGAGTAAACGAGTTTTTCAAGAATGAACTACTTCACTTAGTTCAATGATAAGAATCGATATCGATGGAACTAATTCGTTCTGGTGATAGATATCGCTTCATGCTAGCGCATGGTATTTATATCACGTTTAAAGTGTAAGCATATGAAATATCTCAAATACAATTTGCATGCGATTCAACCCTGTAGCACACGAAATCTTTCCAGAAGGTTCACAAGTCTGGTTTGTGTCCCTCAACACGACGGCCCTTAAACCTGTTTATGCTATACATTCCATTCCTCCTCTGGGCACTTGTTTCCAGGATAAACTTTCATATACACGCAGACGGGTATAAAGGTCGCTTCTCAGATCAAGTAGTGCGCGTCGTGACGCTTTACAGTGTCGCTGTGCTATTATTGGGTTACCTGAATGCGGACAGTCATATTTATAAAGATGCTTTGATATTATACAGGGTGACTTCGAAGTTGAGTCATTTATTTTAACAATGAGTAGATCTGATCAAAAGAAATGTTTTTTTCCTTTACCATTTTTCTGGTAAAATTAAAGTAACAAAGTTATAGCCCTTTGGAAGTTTGAGTACCGCCCTGTCTCAATAATAATATGTGCTCGTGTTTGGCAACAACGGATATAATCCGCCTTATCGGTTCATCGCATCGGAAACAAAAAAGCGAAAGAATTTGGAACGATGTTTTTACAATTATTTTATTCAGTTGTATACAGTCAGTGTCAGTCGGTAACGCGTGAGTGAATAGTGGTGTCTGTTGCGTGGCTCAAACGAAATAAAAAATGGCACATGTTTATGCGGATCGGTTTCCCATTCGAGTGCAACCAACCCCTCGTGCCTTTGTTAATGTAGTACAACGGGCTCGTGAATCAGGTGACTTAAGACCTCACAGGGGACGGCATGCCGGTGCTCCAAGACCTCACGATCAAATACAGGTCCGCACTGAAATACTTGTCGGGAGGATACTTTATAAAACAAGGTAAATTTTTTTTTTTTATTTTTACACACATATTTTGGTTTATCTTCCTTCTATAATCATTATCTGAAAATTAATGACTCAACTTCAAAGTCACCCTGTATATCCATATTATTAATAATGGTTTATGGGTTCAATAATAGTCGCTAAGGATAGAGAAATTAATTGGCTTATACAGGTGTGACGCATCCAGCCTCTGAGGGTTGTTATGGGACATTCGGAGGCCGATTGCTGCGTTCAGGTAGTTATGTTAATACTGCTGAGTTTTCTCTATCAGGGAAATGTCGGAGCGCTTGGTATGTTGACACGATGTGGCATCCTAGGTCTGAATGACCGCTTGACTGTCTTCTCTTGGCAATCGCTGGACTCGATGTATCTCATGGCAGGATGTGTATAGGGATTGTTACTTTAAAGTAGTTATGTTGCTCGGTTATCTCTGGTTCAGGGGTAACGCCTAAGTTTTAGGATATTGACACGTCAACGCTTTTCGTAACAATCGTTAAGCTCATCATATCTGACTATACACCTGGATATCAATATAGGCCGCTGTATTCTTAAATCCTATGATGAACTATCAGGCTGCTGTGTGCTTAATTTTAAGTGAAGGACTGCGTCCCAGGGGGCTGAGGGTGGTACCTCCGCGTTCGACAGTCAGACAATCACAACATCCATAGCCAAGAGAAAATTTTCTCTTGGGACGGGATTCGAACCCGCACAGCGCTCGGCGACTGATCAGGAGACCGAAGAGTCTACTACTGCGGCCTAAAGTATGATGCATTGTTACTACTGCGGATAATTAACGTAATCCTAAGGTAGTACAGTTGTGCATGTTATGAGAGGGTTGCATATGGAAGGTACCCAAATCATTCTTCTAAAGATAGGTGTTGACAATCCGATCATATCGCCCGTATCGCTTGCCAAAGGATGATAACTCGTCTTTCCGTTACCAAGTAAGTGGCTTTAATATTATCCTGACATTGATGCGCACATCGAATTGTATACGTACTACCCCTGTAAAATTAAACTAAAATAGCACAGGCTAGTACTTCCAAGACGGGTTTGTTGTTTTCACGTTTATCGTTCTATTATTATCATCGTCTCGTATCTTATATAAGTATCTTTTTCATAGTTTAAATGTCATCCTCCTGCCCACACATTTTCCCCTGGTACTCGTAAAAGAGCCTGTCAAAATCCAAATATCTAACCCTGTCAAATATGCTACTATTCGTCATTTATTAGTCACTGTCTGATGTACGTTAGTCGAATCTGTCAGTCCTGTTTGCCCAGAAACCATACAAAGTCAAGGAAAAAGAGAAACGGAAATAGAAGAAAAAAGGAGAACAAAAAAACAGATATGCTTAGTTTAAGAGGAAACACCTAGGCTTTTTGACTTGGTACACGGATTAATTTTGAGGTGAACTAAACAATTATTTTTTTTTTGATTCGGTTTTGTTAGAGTGTAATTTTGAGTTTACTAAAGATTCACGCTAACTTTTGATTACAGAGCGAGCCACGGCCTTGAATGTTTACGAACTTGCTCCTCTGTGTAGTCCACTGCGTCACGCAACAGAGGGTTGCTATGCGATTCCGCTTGACTATAACGTCGCTGCGCCTGAAGCTTGACATAATCCCTCAAGTAAGGAATGTCAAGGTCTGTGTGTAGTGTCTCATTTGAGACATACCATGGAGCGTTGCAAATTGTCCGCAAACTTCTGCTTTGCAGTACTTGAAGACTTTGCATGTGTGTCTTGGCAAGAAAACACCAAGCCGCACATGCATAAATAATGGCTGGTCTAATAATCATTTTATATAGTCGAACTTTGTTTATCAAACTCAATTTGGAGGATCTACATAACAAAGGATATAGTTGCCGAAACGCAATTTGTTTTTATGGATCTGTATGTTTCTGCCAGGTCATGCCTTTATCAAGGGTGACACCGAGATACTTGGCAGAATTTGTCCATGGTACACGATTTCCGTCTACAGAAACCTCTGCTGGGGGGCCGCGACGTTTTTTGGTACAATAAATAGCCTGCGTTTTCGAATGATTAATTTTTATGAGCCACCGTTCCGCCCACTCTAGAACTTCGTCCACCGCATTCTGCAACCCATCGTGAACCAGATCACCAGTACACGACTGGGCGACAAGTGCGGTGTCGTCAGCATAGATTTAGGCTTCACACTTGCTGGGGCAAGGGACATCATGGATGAAAAGCGAATAAAGAATTGGTCCTAGGACCGAACCCTGAGGACCACCGGGCCGCACTGGCCGTGTTGTTGAATCAAATATGCATCACATATTATACAGTCTTTCCCTGATTTTGTCTGGTTTCTGGGCAACCAGAACTGATAGACCTACTGACTTACGATACATTAACCAAAAGCAAAGGTCCTACGGACCGCTCTGACTGTCAATGACGAATAGATAGATCATAATAAATATCCAAACATAATATATTTTTCTTATTTGACTCTAAAAACCCAAGTAGCATATATTCGTCCAAATAAAATGAACAAATAAGAAAAGAAGAGAGGTAGCAGAAACATATAACAAAGCGGAAATGTTATTGGCCTCCCTAACATGTGGAAAGGCAAATAAAACAAAAAGGCCGAATAATTTCCATGTAGCAGAAATGATTTCAACACTCTCCAACCGACTGGTCCAGATGAACCGAACCGGTGTTTTAATGAATATGGGAGGGTGTATAATTAATCAGCAAAGTAGGACGGGGGATAGGAATCACCGTATTCGACTAAGCCCAGTGAAGGGAAGGAAGGAGTGAGCTTGGCCCTCGCAGTTTGTTTGTTCAGAGCGGTTTCGGTGAAGATAATTAGTGCAAGCAAGGAAAAGTTAAAAATCATATGTAATCTAAGGAAAATTGAAGTAATCTGCTCAAAGAATAGACTCCAGCCCAACGAGCAGATATGCAGGCTGGCGCATCGAAAACGAAACAAACGCATTTACTGGCAGCTCAGTTTTTTTTTTTTTTGGAAAAACGCTCAGACCCGTCGATTTTGTTTTCGAGGGGGACACAAGTTTGGCAAAAAATCACGTTAACACGTGCAGCCCCCTGGGCGGGATGACACTAACCCTAAAATCTTAAATAGAAAGGGGGCTCGAGTGATACCTTATTTTAAAGGTCTTTCAATTCCCTTTATAACGGTATAAAATTAATGTACTTCAGTTCAGCACTTTTGAAGATTTATTGATTTACTTAATAAGTAAATGCTTTTCTTCACTACGCCCATG